AACGTCCTTGTTCAGAATCTTATTGCGCAGCTTGGGGAAGTCGGTGACCATCTTTTAAAGAAAAAGAAATGCCGGCTCTAAAACACTTGGCGTCATGGAAATGAAGGTTAACCCTTCACAGTTTCATCGAAACAAGTCAAAGAGGTAAAGTTTGACGAAGCCAGCTTTACCGAGGGAAGAAGGTTTTACACTGCTTTCGAGGACAACGCACTTGGAAAGGCTCCTGAGACCTACCTTGGAACCGCCTACTTGAGAAGAGATGATGCTTCTGCTGTTTACTACTGAAGGAGGGACAATGGTAGAGTTGTTTTCGGTGTCCCTGCTGGTGCCAGCCGAATTTCTTGGTGAGTTCAATTCAATTCATTCCTTTGACAAGATGTCATCTCTAACATCTTTTGCTTTCCTTTTTTAATTTCAAGCCGTGCTGCCCACTACTGCAGCTGGTCTGGCGCTTTCATCGCCTAAGTATATGCGCACATTCGAGCCTCTTTATTTATTGTGTAATGGCTGGTGTTTGTTGACGGCCAAAGTTTCCGAATAAACGAGAATGTGAATCCAAAAGCTTATTTCTTTCATTTGTCCTAATAATTGATCCGTATCGTATCGACAGCGAAGACGACAAGCTCGCTCTTTTCGTGAGAGGACGGGGTTCCTTTCTTTGTTCGTGCGTGGGGACGGGATTGTTTTGAGTGATGACAGTTTACGGCTGGAATTCGTGCTCCTTGACGTTGGCATGATTTCATCTTTCGTTCGTTCGTTCCTTTTGTTTCGGGCACGAGGTGAGATGCAACCGAATCCGAGTGGACGTGGCTGAATGGCTGATGTTGAGCTTGCCTGTTGTTTGGTTGTCAGGATTTGTCATTAAAAGAAAAATGAAAAGATAAGGGATTTCTCAAATTCTCAAGGGAGTTTGATTGGATGGAAGTTTTGAGAAATCTCCAATTTATTTTGCAAAATGTCACACATGAATATTCCAACCAATTGGAAAAACTCCGCTTGGAATATTCTGATGTTTGGTGGAGAATAAATAAAATCGCCGAATTCCGTCATTATTAGCGCTAAAATGCAGCGACAACCCAAGGGCCTCCGCCTATCGGATTACATCCAAATTTGCTTAAACTCCCACCTCCAGCTCGACCTCTGAGCGTAAATAATCTCCTATCTCCATCCTCAACCTCACCTCCGAGGGTCTCCTGAACTGCATTTTTAGCAACTGCCTTGTTGGCCGACTGACCTGAAAAAGAAGAAAAAAATATGCTGTGGTGAGTGCTCGAGCCTTCATTGCTGCATCGCTTCTTCCTCCCGTCCATTCCGTCTAACTCTTCTTGGTGGTATAGCTGATCGTCAGAGCCCAACGAACGAATATCCTCCTCAATCCCTGATAATTTCGAGCAGACACCACGCAGAAACATCAGACACCAGCGACAATACACCTCATTCAATCTGCCTGACTGAAATCTGAAAGGATGGATTCACCATTGTCTCCATCCCATCGTCATTCTCAACAAGCTCAAAGCCACCCATCATCTCTCACTCCACGCCGACAATCTCATGGGTCCATCGACATGGTCAGAGAATCACCCAGACGACCCTTGTCGCATGTCACCTTTGCACCAACCACTGCTGCCACTCCTACATTTCATCAATCCTCATCCCTTTCTCCTTTCTCTCCAAGCTCAAGTTTTGCCCAACACGCACGCATGCACCATCTCCCTTACTACGCCGAACCATTGAAGCAATCCGGCAACGATGCCGTCGAAGACGACGACGACGTGGAGGAGGAGGAGGAGGAGGGTGGCGATGCTTTCCACGATCCTCGACAGTCTCAGATCGGGCTCTCCCTTTTGCATTCCTCCGCTTCTCTCCGACCGAACAAGCATGTGGAGGATGGTGTTGACAAGGACGGTGGGGCCAAGAGCCCTGACAATTTTTCGGATTCTTCACATGGCATTTTTCCGATTGAGCATTCTGACCACGGCAGCGGAAGGAGCCCTGTGGTGGGGAGGAGGAATCACCACCATCTTGCTGCCTCTGCTGCCAGTGTCGGAACGGGGAGGAAGCCTGTGGTTTTGCTGAGAGATCATCTCCATGCTTCAAAGACTCATGCCTCATTGCCACCTCATTCGCAATCGCAAAGTTGGTTGAGCAGAATGTGGCCTTCCTTCGAATATGGATTCGGATGGCTCTCTTCATCTTCGTATTCTCCTTCTCGCATGGTTCCAGGCTCACCGAGGTATCGTTCTGTCGATGCCGTCAATAGTAGTGACGAGGAAGAGGCCGTCAAAACGTCGAAAAGGAGGATAAGGAAGCCAAGACGAATGATGCGGCGGAGGAGGTCTTTGCCTGCTCCCGTTGGTACCGGAGCCAGCTCCCCTACTCTTTCAAGTGCTGCCGTGGCTGCCGTGGGTTCCGTCGGTGTGCTGGTGTGGAAGACGTGGACGGCTGCCCTGTCGTTAGTTCTTGGTTCCCATACCACCGGTTCAAAGCATCAGAAAAACGGCAGATCGAAGAGAAACAGCAAAAGAAGGCTTTCAACCGACAGCGGGTACACCAATACCTCCCGCGAAAGACTTTTGCTTCCTCGATCCATATCCCCAAAGGACTCTGCTGTCGCCGCTTGGTCTTCGCATGATGACGAATGGAGCGATGATCTTGAAGCAAGCTCTCATCGCCCTTCTCGTCGGGGCATTCGACCTCGTACCGTCATCTCCTTTTTCCTTGAATTAGTCCGTCGCATCTTTCTCCTCTCAATCGCATCCATCCTGATCTTTGCCGCCATCCTCACCTTTTACATGGCATTCATCCGCGACCTTCCACCCATCTCTTCCCCGCACTTCTCCTGGCTGGCTCAAGGTGTCCCACCGACGTCTCATCATATCCCGATTGCGAGCCCCTTTTCCAGAGCTGTTTGCTATGCGGATCAGTTGAGGCTTTTGGCGACCACGGTTGTGAGCGGGAAGGATATCAAGCATCGGGAAGAATGCTCGGAGGAGGTTTTGGAGGCGATTTTGGAGGGCGTCAGGGAATGGCCACCGAAAGCTCGGGGCGGGGTTTGGAAGGAGGTTTTTGTGAATGGGGAGGTTTGTGAGGATGGAGAGGGGGGTGTGGATGGAGGTGAGGACGTTGTTGAGGCTTTTTTGGCGGGTAGGAACGTGACTGGGAGGAGAGGGGAGATGAGGAAAATGTGTCGACCGAATGTGGAGTGGGTTGTGTATGCTACCAGTTGCAGTCGAGGGTTGAATCGTCTTGCCAAGAGTTTGAAGAAGGGTGGGATTCCGCTTACGGTGCTGGGGATGGGGATGGGATGGAGGGGGTGGGGACAGAGGGTCAGAAGTTACCATGATTATCTTGTTGCTTTGACCGAGCATGGTTTCTTGGAGGATCTTGTTGGGGTGGATTTGAAAAAGAAGGTTTTGGAGAGGAATCGGAGGAGGGTTGTGGTTTTTTCGGATGGGGATGATGTGATTGCTAATTGTGGGGGTGATGAGATTGTGGAAAGGTTTTGGGGTAGGAGCGAGCCTTGGAGTCGGGTTGTGTTTGCGGCGGAGAGGGCCATTTGGCCGAGACGGGAATGGGAGGTGGAGTATCGGAGGGATGTTGACAGGGAGAAGCCGGTTCTGAGACATCTTGTGGAGGGTGTCAGGGATCCCAGAAAGAACGTTAGGCCGCTTGTTGGGTTTGTGAGGGAGGCGTTTCCCGACCCCGTTGATACTGCCGATGTAGATGCCACGGAGAGGGCTGGCGAGCCGCTTCGAAAGGATACGCCCAGTCTTTTCCGGTTCTTAAACGCTGGGACGTTTATGGGTGCTGCCTTGGATGTTAGGGAGTTGCTCAAGAGCGTTTACGTGGATGAGTGCTTTGATGATCAGCAGGGGTTCTCGAGGGCTTTTTTGGATGGAGTTTCGGCAGCTGTTGGTGATTTGGAGGGGATGATGAAGGTTGAGGGATTGGTAAGGGAGGTGGAGGTGGCAAGGAGTTTCTTTGATGGTGAGGTGATGAACTGGGTTAAAGGTGGACAGGAAGCGGGGAGAGAGGAACCAGTTTTGAGGGCTTGGTTGGCAGTCAGGGAAGCGAGGAGGAGATTGAAGCGGGCTTCGGTGGAGCATAATCTACGGGAAAGTGATCGTGAGATCGACCTTTTCAAGAGGGTTGGTGATGTCAAAGCCTTGGTGGAGACGCGACCCTTCATTGCCCTCGACTACGAGAACCATTTCGCTTCTGCCCTTTACGACGTTTGGATCGGCGACATGGGCGTGATGCGTGACAACAGCACATCATCACTCTGGGTGCGCATGAAGGAGACTCAACCCACTCTTAGGCATGTTCCGCATGCACCAGTCCCGGCAGAGGTCATGGAGATGGTTGAGAAGGAGGTTTCTGGGAACGGGTTCAAGGGTGTTTGCGCCGTTCATCACAATGGCAGAAAGATTGAAAACAGGGCGCTGGAAAAGCTTTCGAAACGGTTGGGGTTGGCTTTTGATTCCAAGGCGGTTCTGGTCAAGGGGTTTGAATGAGGTGTTTTGGTTTGGTTATTCTATGTAATTGTATTTTATGTTGAGCATATTTAATTAAGTCACTGAGGTGTTGTGGAGGAGAGAACAATTACCTTTATGTTTCAATGAAAACTATTGGTTTTGAAGGAAGCAGTTAAAGGCAAGAGTGAGCAGTAGGAGTAAGAATCCAAAATCGTATAATGAGTTGCTGCGGGGTTCACGGTCCCATTTGGCCCAGAAGCGCGGCGGGAGGTGGCATTGTTGTGATTCACGACGCGTGGGAATCACGAAGGAGCGAGCGAAACATAGCGTGCTCGTGACGCGGGGTCGAGTGGAGGAATGGTCAATTTGTGTTTTAATCTTTGTTATTTTATAGATGGCGAGATCACGCCTTTTCTATTACGCACGTGGTCGTCTATAAACGCCCATTTTTTAAAAAAAAATATATGATTTACTAAAAGTAAACATGTTTTTTTGAAAAAAAAAAAAAGATTGACCAAAAGTAAACGCCCAATTGGGGTCTCGATCCCCAAACCTTGAGATTAAAAGTCTCACGCTCTACCAATTGAGCTAACCGGGCAGCTTCCTGATTTTTTGTGACGGAATTGACCCTTATGTTCCTGCCTTTCATGCCATAGCTGCCTCTCTTTCCTTTTTTGGTTTATTTGTCTT